TACCACAAGATAATCCAGTAGATGATGAACTCATTCCAACTAATACGCAACCAACGCTCAAAGCTAAAGACACCATCCGCTATATATATTGAACGCAGACGACCACATAGGAGTAGAAGATTTCATAAAAGAAGTTAGAATACTTAGGAGTGTGTGGACGAAACCGAATACTACTACTAAAGGCCATAAAAGTAGAAAAAATAATAGGAAAAGCAGCTCAGAGCATACGAAACATTACAATCGACAATTACGCAGACTTCTACGACGCATTACGCACCAACGTTGCAGTACAAGCTTCAGCAGATGAAGTTAACGAACAACTTAGAGAGTTAAAGCAAAGTAACACCAAAAGCCTACAGAAACTTTAACGTACGGTTCAGACGCATCCTGAATAAACTTGCATATGCTATAACCAACGAATATCCGCAACCAATCACAAGACGCGTAATGATGGAAGCCACTATGAAACGCGTGACCAAAATCTACATCAACGGACTAAAAGCGAAATTAGCCATATGATCTTTACCAGCAAATCAAACACTCTCATCGAAGCAGAAAAAGAAGCAGCTGACGTTGAACGTTACTTATGCAAATAACGACACGAATCTTATCGCAAACCGCGAGACGCGAGAAAATACGATGAACCGCAGAGACCACCTCGACGCTTCGCGACCGACATAGAGCGACCAGCGGCACTGCCAGCACTACGCCCATTACTAACAGCAGTAAATCGACCAGACGGTTACCGACAAGTCAAACGCCAACCTCTTGCACAAAGAACACAAATGAAATGCTTCAAATGTGGAAGAATTGGACACAATGCTAACCAATGCGAAAATTTTCGAATTCCCAGCCAACAAAGCAAACCACCACCGAGAATAAATCAGAGTCAACGCAACAACTGGAGAACTACCAACAATACAATATGGAGAAAGAACCTATCTCTTGGACAGCGGATCAGGAATCAAAGCGGACCTCATCAAATACAGAGTACTACGAAGAGAACCAGGAAGAGTGCCAGTAAGAAAATTCGCGATGGGACATAGAAAATTCCAAACCAACACCGGAACACTAATCAAAATATTCAATAAAAATTAAATTCTATGTAGTACCTAACAATTTTCCCATAATAAAAGACGGTATAATTGGATTGCCATGTTTAAAGGAATTCGATTTAGAACTTTCTAACGACAAATTAAAGCTAATGTTACAGAACAACCCCACTGTTCCAGGCCAAACAATCGGAAAAACTGTATACCTTGAGAACAAACCAACGCGAGTATGCTTTATCAATGGTGGCAAGTCCGTTTTACAAATCTCTAACCATATTGAACGATCCAATGAATACAACCAAATTGCAATATTTAAAGAACTTGTCAGACTAAAACATATCGAACCAAGCCTCAATGAGCCTATCGAAAAGCTTTTATTATTATACCTTGATGTATTCAATCTAGAAACCGATCTATTACCATGTACAAATCTAGCCGATATTATACCATATCTAGCCGATATTATACCGAATACATACCATTACGCTTAAAGAAAACAAAATCATCAACACTAAATCCTACCGATCTCCCGAATGCCAAGACGATATTAACCGACAACTGAAAGACATGTTAGACAGAAAGATTATTGAACCATCCGATTCCCCTTATAATTCACCAGTATGGGTGGTACCAAAGAAAGCAGACGCCTCCGGAAAACAAAAATGGAGAATAGTCATCGATTTCAGAAAATTAAATGAACTAATAGATCAAGACGGTTACCCACTACCCGACATAGACGACATACTCTCTCAATTAAGAAATGCAAAATTTTTCTCAGCACTAGACTTATCCTCAGGATTCCATCAAATACCTATGCATCCAGACTCAAAAAAGTACACTGCATTTAGCACACCTCAAGGACACTATCATTATAACAGAATGCCATTTGGACTAAAGAACGCTCCAGCCACAACGAATGATGGACACAGATCTTAGAGGACTCATTAACAAACATTGCTTTGTATATTTGGACGACATAATAATTTTCGGACAATCAATCCATGAACACAATAATAACTTAGCCATCATATTACAACGACTCAGACAACTCGAACTAAAGATACAACCAGACAAATGTGAATTCTTAAAACCAGAATTAGAATATTTAGGACATAGTAACAGCAGAAGGAGTCAAACCAAACTCAAAAAAGATTGAAGCAGTAGAAAAATTTAGACGACCAACCAATCCCACGGAAATAAAATTTTTCCTCGGACTAGCAGGATACTAAAAAAAATTCATACGTAACTTCTCAAAAATCGCTAAACCATTAACAGAACTGACAAAGAAAGATACACCCTTCCATTGGATAAACAAACAGGAGATAAGTTTTACGACTTTCAAACAGAAGCTATGCGAAGAATCAAGTGCCCAGACTATGAAAAACAGTCTACGCTGACAACAGACGCCAGTAACGAAGGCATAGGAGCTATACTTTCACAAGATGGACATCCATGTTGCTACATATCACGAACACTCAATCCAGCTGAACGAAACTACTCAACTACTAAAAAGGAGCTTTTAGCAATACCCACTCGGACGAAAATTCCTCATACGAACCGATCACTAAGCACTGAAATGGCTACAAAATTGTAAAGACCCCTCATCAACACTCATGAGACTGCATTTAGAAGAATACCAATACTAAGTTGAATATACAAGGGAAAGACAATACAGCCGCGGATGCACTCTCTAGAATTCATATGGTCACCGAACAGCAAAATGTAACACACACCGTTACGACTGATTACGAGAAAGCATTCACTGAATGGGAACAATCAGATGAATTTACCAAAGTGTTAAAACTAGTACCAAACAGAAAAAATTTTTTTCAACTAACAAAGAACGAAATGGAAAGCCATGATAAAATCAAATGGTTACAAAAACTTCACGGAATCATCCAGCAAACGGACAAGATTGGAATAGAAGACAAAAGTTTTAACGAGACCGAAAAGAACACAATCAAAAGAATGCTAATGTATTTTAATGACAAAGTCGAAGAAATCACATTTTCCTGAGAACCAATTCAAGAATTCAACGAAGAAGAAATCGAAGAAATATCGAAACAAAACCACAACAATATAGAACACCTTGGAATACAGAAAACGTATGAACGAATACGCGAAAAATACAAAGTACCAGATCTCATGAAAAGAATCGAAGAACGAATCAAAGCATGCGATACGTGTCAAACCACAAAGGCTACACGCATCAGAGGAAACGAAGAACCAATCATTACAGATATACCATCCGCACCAAATGACAAAATTGCAATGGACCTCCTAGGACCCAGGAAGAAAACAAAGAAAAGAAACCAGTACATCATCTCTATTCACGATGAATTAACAAAATACCTAGTATTAGTACCATTAAAAAGCCAACAGATAGAAAACATATGGAACGGACTACTGAACTACACTACAACTACACTACATCTACATCTTCTCACCAAGAAAATATTAACCGATAGAGGACAAATCTTCATCAGCGAACTAATGCAACAGTACGAGAAAGCATTCGAAATCAAACACATAAAAATTACCAGCTTTCACCCTCAATCAAAAGTAGCCTGGAACGAACACACGCAGTAATAGCTGACATACTAAAAAGTATACAAAAGAACAACAATGAAGAATGGGACGAATTGCTCAACTTCTTATGCCTAGCATATAACACAATGATACATGCCGCGACTGTGATACACACCTTTCGAACTAACCTTTGGACATAAAGCTAATTTACCCTCAACCATTTCCCAAAATCCCCAACGAACATACCCTCAGGAAGTCGTTTTCAGAAAACGAGAATGGGATTCCAAACTTAACAAAGCTAGAGAAACACTTGTACGTGCAAAACAAAGGTATAAACGCGATCAAGAACGAAGAATAATCAAAGCTCAATCTATATTCAAAGAAGGCGACCAAATTTTAATACATAACGACCACAAAGAACATAAACTAGATTCAGAATAGTTAGGACCCTACACCATTGAAAAAATAAAAACGCCGTATTACGAAATTCTTGTCAACGGACAAATTAAGAAAATCCATGGTAATCGAATTAAACCCTATGGTAATCGAATTAAACCTTACTTTCCAAGACGACACTAATCATGCTAGCCATGACTGCCGCACAAGTAACCATCGTACCCTGCAAAGGAATTCCATATTCTTAGGAAATATAGACAAAGCCTACTTTTACAATAATCAAGTAGACATAATCATAGGTTTGAACATCGACGATGTATTTAAAAAAAAAATTAGAAAACGTCAAAACATACACCAAAACAATACATGAGAAATGTGAATATTTAGATGAGATAGATCTACCCAAGATACTCTATACAAAAAAGAGGCTTATTGAACATAATAGGGTCAGTATCCAAAAGCTTATTCGAAACACTCGACAACGACGATCTCACTTTAATAAATAAAAATATAGACACTTTATTTGACGACAATAACAAACTCAAAACTATTATTAATAACCAAATGGCACTAATACGCAAAGTCATCAACACGGACGGTATAAAACAAATCGAGAAAATTATTTCTGATGTCAATTATATGAAACAACACATAGAACACGGACAGCTATTAACCAAACTCTTGATCAGAGGAGAAACAGTAATATACGATATACACTTTCAATTAGACGAACTGCTAAATGTAATCATATTAGGAAAACAAGGAATCATAAGCCCACAGATTATAGACCAAGACAAGATTTATCAAGAATTATGCACAAACATTGGGACATAGAATCCTAAATACTGTAATAGAATCAAAAGCTGAAAATTTTCAATTCATACTAGACATAGCAGACTTGTCAATATTCATTATCAGCAATAAACTCTTCTTTAAAATATCTGTACTAATTATTCTTGACAAAGAATGGGATATAGTGTAGATATACCCCATACCTACTATCAAGAATAACGTATATGTAGCACCACTTGTCAACACCAAATTTTCTTAGTCTCAGAAATGGTATATATAAATACTGATAATGAGTACATAACAACTCACTGTAAGAAAAGCAGAGGAACAACACTTCGCAGACAAACTATGTATTCACTTGCTATGCTGTAAGACTAAATCAGGCTCCACGATTAATAACGAACAACGTGTGATGCCAAGTGCACCAATTAATATCTACACACCTCTGAAACTTCAAGTTACCAAACCGCGAGATGAAGAAGAACAGGTATTATTCGAACCAAGACACGTGCGATTCCACAAGAACGCCCTAAGAAGAAAATAACTTGGAGGACCAAGTTCAATCTAAGAAGGGGAGAATGTAACGCCTCGAAATTCCAGATAACAATATCATAAATCACCACCCCACCACCGGGTACGCCTTAGTCACCAACAGCCAGACTCTCACGAACAAACAACGATAAGCTTCAGTATAAGTAGAGGCTCTTCCAGGCGCCTAAGTCAGTCTTGATGTAATTTTGACTCAGTGTTAATTTAATCTTGTGTCAGGATGTAGCCCTCAATAGGCTAAGGTTTGCCTCAATATTGTAAATCATATACTTATAAATAAAGTCGCACGAACAGCTCCGGCTATTCGACAATTTTTTTTTATATCAAAGATTCGTTTATTACGTGACACGAGTATGACAGCTTGTGAAATTTTTCTGCCACATGAATCTTTAATAACGCGTCATAAATCGCGAGACGTCGTGGTTGCGATTCAATTAAAATTCCAGAGAAGATCGAACGTGTCTGTACATACGTTCAAATTGCTTAAGCCTTCTACCTGTACTTATGTTTTAAAAGCTCTTGGTTCGAATTTACGCATTCGACATCCTTACTGTACGTGAGCGTGTTTGTGAGTGTTGGATCATTGAAGTTGGCCAGACAAATGATCATGATAGGAAAGTGGCGTCGTGAATTTTCGCTTTTCCTTTTCGACAAAGAAGCACGATCGAAATACAACCATAAAGCTAGAAATCATATTCTTGTTAGTGGTCGCAGGAAACTGGCAGGCCTTTCCGTTCTATTCATGCAGCTGCTACCAACGTAAACTACTTCAATTTCCTTTTCCAAGATTACCTACATAGGCAC